AAAAAAAAATTAAAAAAAAAAAAAAAATTAAGTTTATTGTTACATTTTAGATACCCATAATGATCACGCTTTTGTTTGAGAACAGTTTGGTTCACAAATATTAAGCACTTGGCCAAATTTTGCTTTTGTATGTAAATTCGGTATCAGGTGATGTTTCTGTTTTTTTTTTTTTTTTTTTACAGAACCAGGGATTGAACTCAGGCTCTTGTGCTTGCCAGGCAAGCCCTTATTCTACTGAGCCATCTCCCTGGCCCCTAAAGATTTCTTTCTTTTTTTTTTTTTTTGGTGGAACTGGGGATTGAACTCAGGACCCTGCGTTTGCCAGGCAAGCGCTTATTCTGCTGAGCCATCTCCTCGGCCCCCGGTATCAGGTGATGAACACGACTGTAGCCATCTTTCCTGCATGAATGTGAACAAGGCCATCTTTTTTTTTTTTTGCTCCGAATGCCTTCAGGGCAGGTTTGGCTGGCTGGAGTTGTGGGGATCGAACCACAGCCACCTGAGCCTGACTGCTTTGGGGAAGCAGCCGCTTAAAGAACTGAGCTAGGGGGTGGCCCCGGAGGCCATCTTTTCTGGGACCACAGAATGAAGTAAGCTCATGAACCGAGGCGCCACTGCACCATAGCTGTAGCACTCAACGTAGTGCCCTCTAGACTCATGGTGCTTGGCACATCAATGCTATGCTCCCACCAATACGTTTTTTTTAAAAATTAGGTCTCCCTTACTGTCTTAAGTCACTACGATGGTTTACCTCTACGTTTTCTCTCATGTTATTTAACATCATGTTAAATCACAGACTTACAGTGATATGTGATTTCTATTCAGCGACGTGGAAATTCAAAGCAGCAGAATTTTAGTACAGGAAGATAATATTAAGTGGTTATTGAAATACAAACTTATTAAGTGAAAAACTTTTAGTTGTTGAATAGGAAAAAATTGGAATTTAGCAGGAACATTTTTAAAACAGAAACCTTTCGACCTTGCTTTTTAAAAGTGTATTTACCTGGGGTGTGACTGTGCGATCAATTAGATTCTCAGTCAGAGACAAGAGCAAGGCATCTAATTCATCTGTAGCATCCTGTGGAAGATAAGTGGTCTAGAATTGTTAACCGATCCCTTTATTCCTGACTAAGTTTTTTCCTGGTGAGTGTTAATCTTCTAAACAAATAGGGGGATTCAGGAACCACGGTTCCATCATTTCATTTCTTTGTCATGAAGAGCTTAGACTATGATCAGAACTTGAAATGGTCTGTAAATTTTGATACAGCTATTCTTTTAGAGAGATAAAACTGGGGTGGGAATAGGACTATTCTGGTTGTCTGTAGACTAGCTGAGAGCCACAAAAGCTCCTCACAGAAGACAGTGAGTGAGGGATATACTTCAACCCTTCCCAAGTATTAATACTTTTTCTTTCCTTTCACTTCCTTCTTCCTGCTCCATCCCAGGGCTAAGTGTACCATAGCAGTTTGAAAGCAGAGACCATGTTTCATTCATTTTGTAGTCTGTGATTATTATGTGGTGTGTAATGTCTATATAATAAAACGGAAGTAAATAGTATAATTTTTTCCTACAAAATCTCAGGTTATTTAATTGTTTTCAGTGACTAATCAAACATGTCAATGACTTTTTGGTATTTTTACAATAGTGTTTGTTTGTTTTTTTCTTTTTTTTTTGCAGAATCGGGGATTGAACTCAGGCCCTTGCGCTTATCAGGCAAGCACTCATTCTATCGAGCTATCTCCCCGGCCTTTGCCTCTGCCTTTCTGGTATTTTTAACAGGCATAACTAACAAACAAAACCAATTCTTGGTTGAAAGAATAGTAAATTTTTTTTTTTTAAGTTTTAAAGTTTTATATACTTAAATATCAACTACATACTGTCATTGCATAGTGAGATTTCTTGATCAAGTACTTGGTAAATTTTCAAAACTATATACATTATGCAGTAAGAGGATGATCTGGTACATGTTAATTTGGAAGGAGAATTTTAAACTTGCAAATTGAAGCATTCATGGGCAATGAATTGAATTTGTGTAACTTGTGAGGGAGACAGGAATAACAAAACTTGGGATGCTCTGGTTATACTGTAACATAATCAAAGACAGGTGCCTGTTATTTAAATTTTTGTCAATCAACATTTATTTAGTGCCCCTTATTTTCCATACCTACTATTAGAGACACAGGGATATAGCAATTCACACAACAGTTCAAGTCTGTCACACAATTTCTATTCTTCAGAGTAAATCACACTAGTAATTTCAGTATAGTCACCTTTGTTCAAGATACATAGCCTCAACTTTTATCTACTCTATTAGAACTTTTATCTAATAAGAACCTTAAAAGTATCTATTTGCATGTATGTGTATGTCCTTAAAAGGAAAATGAGTGAAAACATGGTCAGTTCCCAAAACAAAAATATAAACAGTAACATAAAAACTAAAGGGGAAACTCTAAGATACTCTTGAAAAGGGTCTGTCAATAGGATTCCCCTAGAGAACTGAGGCTCAATGCATTTCTCACAATGTTAATCGGAAAACTTCACACGTCCCTAGATCTAACTCAGTGTCGTAGCTGGAAAAAATTTAAATATTTTTACCGTTAGAACAGAATCCTTGTCCACAGGTGTGGTATGTGTCACAGGAAGAGAATCTCCGGAGATGGGTACATTATTCTCAGTTAATACAGCACTAGGGAACAAAAAAGATAAATTCAGATCATAAAGGACCTGCAGGGGAAGGCAGTATGTTTGAAGAAAGGACTCAGGAAAATAGCAGAATTCCTTCGTTAACAGAGTTCACCCATCCATCCACATTTTATTCAACGCTACCTTCTCTGCATCACTAACTTTGTGCTTCGGAGAAATTACTGAGTAAAATAAGATGACTGACCCCAGTGATGCTGCAGTCTGGTTGCTGTGATGGATATTACACAATGGGGGGCGGTGCATGAGGCTTGCATGCAGCCAAGGGATGCTGGGAGACTGCGCCATGTTACTTAGCCAGGGTGCAATTTAAAATTTGTCAGTGGTTTACTTCTGGAGTTTTCCACTTAATATTTTCAACATTAGGTGGATGACCACTGAATCTACAAAAAATAGACCACAGATAAGAGGAACCACACTATATAAATGACTTTACAACTCAACAAAAAGAAACAACTCAAACAATAAATGAACATAGGACATAAACATTCTTTTTAAAAATAATATTCATTTTTTTAAAGGGAAACACAAACAGCTAGTAAATACCAGAAAGATGCCTAACATCCTTAGTCATTATAAAAATGCAACTGAAAACTACAATGAGGTAGCACTTCGGAAGCAGAAAATTATGAGTTGTAAGGGTGCAGGGAAATCACAATCTAAACACACTGCTAGGAGAAAGAGAAAATTATACAGCCACTGTGCAACGGGCCTGGCACTTTCTGAGAAAATTAAACATAGAATTACCATATAATTTACTAATTCTACTATAGATATATATCCAAAATAATTAAAAGCAAGTGTTCAAACAAAAACTTGTGTGCAAATATTCACTGTAGCAGTATTCCTAACAACCAAAAGTGGGAACAACTCAAATGTTCATGAACAGATGAATAAAAAACAAAATATGATAAATCCAAACAATGGAATATCACTCAGCCATAAAAAATAAAGCCTTGATGCATGCTACAACTTGGACGGTCCTTGAAACATTATGTTAAGGGAAAAGAAGCGAGCAAATAATCTCATATTATAGGGCACCACTTACGTGAAATTTCAAGAAGAGAAATGTTTATGTAGAGAAAGTAGGTATGTGGCTCCTCAGGGCAGCAGCAGTGGGGTGGGAGTGGGGGTAACAGCAGTGGGGGTCAGAGCGAGCTAAAAGTATAGGATTTCATCTGGAGGTGACAAAATCTTCTAAACTTAGATACTGATGATGGCTGCAAGGTGTCTGCATATACTAAAAACAACTGCACTGTACACTTCAGCTCACTAGGACAGGTAAGCTTTCAAAAATATAACTGTAGGATAAAAATACTGAGGAACTGGAACCCTCACATACGGCTGGTGGGAATGGAAAATGGCGCCCCCATTTTTAGTATAGTTTGGTAGTTTTTAAAAAGTTCTCCCATGACTGAGAAGCAGCAGCACTGCTCTCAAGGGATACACTAAAATGAAACAAGCCTGAAAGGACATCTCGTTTACAAAATGTTCACAGCAATCGTATTCATAGTGCTCAACAAGCGGAACAATCTAAATGCCTACCAACTGATATACGGATAAACAAATGTGATATACAAACACGCTACAACATTATTCAGCCATAAAGAAGGGTGAAGTACTAAGGCACGGCACAGTGTGGAGGAACCTTTTTAACACTAGTTCAATAGCAGAAACAGCCACAGCCACTTCTGGCATAGCTCCATTCACAGGAACCCTTCAGAACAGGTAACTGCAGAGACGGGAAGTAAATGCATAGATATCAGGTGTGCTGTGTGAAGGGAGCGACAGCGGGCGCACCAGGTGTTATTTTCAGGTATGCTGACAACTAGATGGGGTAACAGTCGCACAACTTTGTGACTGCGCTGAAAACCGCTTACTGTATTTATTTATTTTTATATATTTGGTACAGGGTCTCACTCTGCAGCTCAGACTTGTAGTAATCCTCCTGTTTTCAGCCTCCCCAGTGCTGGGGTTAAGGGCTGTACCACCACGCCCGGTGTCTGTGGCCAGCTCATGCACCTGGGGGTGGGGCCAGTGCGGCATGTGGTGCTGGGATTGAGCCCCAGGCCCCTGTGGGACCTTGCCTAAGCACACAGTCTGCTGAGCTATCTCACCAGCCTTAATTATATATTTTTAAAGAATGAATTTTGTGGGCTGGGGAGATGGCTCAGTAGAATAAGCGCTTGCCTGGCAAAGACAAGGACCTGAGTTCAATCCCGTTCTGCCAAAAAAAAAAAAAAAAAAGAATGAATTTTGTGGTATATGAATTACATCTCAACAAAAAAGGTAAAAACCGATATAAATTTATACAAAATGCTAAGATGTGAGAAAGCTTGATATCTGGTACACAAGTATGCAATCCCTCTCTTTCTCCCTAGTTTTCTCTACGTCCAACATATTTCATTTTTTAAAAGGATGTACAGCACTTGTCCACATATGCAAGGCTCTAGCTTCAATCCCAAACACTAAAAAAAATTAATAAAAGGAAGTACAGTAATACAAAGTGTGGTAAAACAAAGAAAAACAGGTTAACAGAAAGGAGGAGGTCCTGAAATAGACCTAAGTTTTCAAGAGAATTCAGAATATTTCAAAGGGCGCATTTCCAATCTCAGACAAGGGTAGAGGTGTACACCAGATGACTGAAAATATAAACAACCATTCAGAAAAATCTATCTGGAAGTCAGAGTGCATTTATGGTCTCCACAGTTTTAAGAGTTTAGTGAAACTTCTGATGGAAGGACAGTCCTGTGCCCATTTTCTCTCCTCTTAGCACACAAATTTTTTTCAAGAGGTTATTCTAAATAAAAGTTCAACAACAATAATATCAAAAATGTAGCACTAACAGTTACTAGAATTAAAAGGGTAAGTTGTAACAACTTCCCCCCAATATTTTCTTTTTCTTTTTTCTTTTTCAGGTACTGGGGGTAGAACTCAGGTCCTTATGCTTGCCAGGCAGGCGCTTAGGCCACTGAACTATCTCTTCAGCCCTCCCCCAATTTTTTTCTAATCACAGTTTTGTAGAGTCCTATATGTAAAGCATGCTATAAGCTTACGTGCATGTGGAAGTGGAGATAATTAATCAGAGAACTATCCAATGATTAAGGGCTTTTTTTTTTTTTCCAGAACTGGGGATTGAACTCAGGCCCTTGTCTTTGCCAGGCAAGCGCTTATTCTACTGAGCCATCTCCCCGGCCCCTGATTAAATTTTGAGTAACAGGAAAAGAAGTAACTTTCACTCAAAACTTTTTAGCACCCCCTAAGAACAGGTCACTGTATACACAGTGATGTAGAACAAAGGCTAGATAATGGGAATCATCAAGACAGGCAGGAAGTGGGAGAGGCAGAGAAAGAGAAGTAAAAATAATCGAGATGTTATGTGCTTGTACCAACTATCCATCATGAATGTAATCACTATGTACTGAAAACATGTATTAATACTTTCTTAAAAGTCCAACAAGATAAATGACATAATCATTAAAGAGATGAGAGTGGAAGAGCAAGACATTTGCTTGGGTAACATGAGAGCCAACTCTGACTTTAAAAGAACAAGACCACAGTGATGACAGGATGACACTAGCATTAATCACAACACCCAAGAAAATATACATTCCTTACCAGGCGAGAGATTAAAAATATCATTTAAAAAATGGTTTTTTCTCTATAGTTCAAATCTGGTAAGGACAAATGGGAATGCAGGAGGACTAATTGAAACTAGGTATGAAGAATCTCAGTAGTGAATAGAAAAGAATGTTTTTAAACATGAGAGGGGCTGGAGAGATGGCTCAGTAGAATAAGTGCTTGCCTGGCAAGCTCAAGGGCCTCAGTTCAATCCCTGGTTCCACCAAAACAACAACAACAACAACAAAAACCCAAAAAACAACAAACAACCCCCCATGAATTTTGGTGGTGACAGATTAGAAAAAAAGAACCTGCCACCCTTCCCAAGAAAAAAACCCAGAAAGAAAAAATGGTAACAAGATAGGATAAGAAAATCCATGTAATTCATTCTACCCAGAACTGTACCTGCTTGTTGTAGCATCTCCAACACTGGAGCTTCTATGGCTTAATAAGCTATCTTCTCTTGTAACCTATGAAAATGAAATCATAGCATTAAATTTTTTTTTTCCCCCCCGGAACCGGGGATTGAACTCAGGCTCTTGCGCTTGTCAGGCAAGTGCTTAATCTACTGAGCCATCTCCCCGGCCCCCATAGTGTTAAATATTTAAGGATACTAAAGTAACAAAAACTTATATTGCTTTGAGTTCAAAATTAGTTGTTTTTGTTAGAAATGACTATGATTTTTAAAAATTTTTATTTTTTAATTGAGAAATAAATATGAATGGGACAGTTTCACAGCTGATTAATAGGACATTTTTGATAATCAATACATTGCACAACTTTATGATTTGTATCTCTACATACACAAAATTTCTTTGATTAGCTAAGGGAATAGCTATTGTATCAGAAAATATAAAAACTTAGCTGAATCCAGGTCATTATTCTTACTCTTATTCTATTGCTATTCCAGTGAAGCTGTCAAGTCTGAACTAGTCATTTCAATGCCAGAACTTCTGTGGCACCTGCTGGTTAGCTCAGCTGTTTAAGCGCCTGCCTATGCAAACGCAGTCAATCGCAGCTTAGATCCCCGCTCCACATGCCTTACCAGACCCACCCTTAAGGCAGCATGAGCCAGCAAAAAAAAAAAAAATCCTTCTGAATGCTAGAACTGACCTGTAACAATCTTTCTGCTACATAATGTTACTTTCGAAAGAACACATAGCAAGAAAACACATGGCAAGTTGGTTCTAAAAAAATAACTAAAATATTTCAACTCCTAGCATTAGTAGGAAAAATACTAGTTCTTGATATCTAGTATAAATGATATAATCAAGATTTTTCTATCACTGGCCAGCCAGCCTGGCAACTGAATGTAACAATATCCTCACTTCTCTAAAAGTGATTCTAACTCTTGGGAAGAGCTGAGTTGCTCCCTTTCCGGTCTTCTCTTTGTTTGAGCTCAGCCAGCACCGCCTGGAACCTGGTCATTAGAGCCAGGTTCTCCACTTTTGTGATGAGATCCTCTTGTCACTTGGTCCGGCCCTGGGTCTCTTGGAGCTTGCCTTTCATGTAACAATCTGTTTCTGAATTCCCATAACCAGTTGGCTGGTTCCTTCATTTTCTTGGTGCTGTGCACCTGCCTCACTCAGCTTGTCCTGCAGCTGTCTTTCCAGGTCTTCCTCAGTATCGGTAATGTTTATATCTTCTTCATCTTGATGCTGTGTCCCATCTTCCTCTTCATTGCTACTGCTGAGGTCATTGAATACCTCTCGAAGTGCATCATGTTCCAGTGAGTCATGGCCTTGCCTGTGGCCAGACATGCCTGGAGAAGAGATATCAAGGCCTTGATTCTCTGCCTCTTTTGTTTCATCTCCAGCAATTATTTCCCAATGAGTATTGACAGCTTTGGCATCTGTACTCAGGAAGTGCTTAACTTCTTTTTCCACATCAGGAGACTTGATATACTTCTTTGCTGTCTTCCAGAACTGCCTCTTCCTCACGTTTTTTAAAGGCAGAGTAATTCCATGGTTCCGGACAAACTTCTTTTCTTTCTCTTTTCCTTTTTTCTTGCTTGCTTTGGGATCAGCTGCAGCAACTGGTTCTTCCACAGGTTGGTAGAGGTCACCATCAACATGGACACAAGCATCTGACAGATACTGGCTGTCTTGCAAAAGGTCTTTTTATCAATGGTTCTCAAGCTTTCCATGACACATGGCAGACCTGGCAATTTCGCAGCCAATGAGACCTGGTTCACTCTGACAATGCCATGACGCCCGTCAGGGTGTAACTCAACTGTCAGTCTACCCTTCAGGTTGACGTGACCAGAATGTACCGCTCTCCTCACAGCAGCAGCATGTCCAGGAAGCAGGCATAGGGTAACTGGCTCTCTAGCTCCTGAACATCAACTTTGCTCTTACTCATCCTTACCTGCTGGTGGCTCACTTCTCTAATATATATTGCTTTCTAATAAAAATAAAAATGTAAGTTTGCTTCAAATAAGAGGTAATTATACCTTATCAGTTCTGTACGTAAGTCTATTCTGGGCCAAAGAACCTAAAATGCAACATCAGTATGTTTGGTATACACACTGCCTTGTACTTACTATGGAGCTGCCAATTATTTAAGACACTGAAGAATGTTACACTGAAAATATATATAGCATTCATGAAGAATCAAACTCAGAATTTTCCTTTTTAGAATTTTCTGAGTTTATATGCTAAACAGAGAAACATTTGAGGCCCGATATTTGGCAGTCTTCCCTAAATGCAAGAAACACTTTAAAAAGGATATCTGAAAAACTTTTCTGAAGAGCCTGGTTTCCCCCAATTTTATCTTGATTAATGAATTTTCAAAACTATGCGTTAGTGCATAACCAACATACATAACAACACTCCCGCTATTTCCAACCTCCCAAATACTTCACTGAGTGTCCTGGGCTCATCCAGCAATCTATATTTTCCACAGCACGCAATCACGTAACAGCGTGTATATGAGACCTTTTGGGTCTGCCTCTTCCGAGGGGATAATGCTGTAAGACTGACGCATGCTTTCGCATGTCTCACTGACGCACCGCTTTCCCCTTCGCTGGGCGGCACGGCCCTGCACGGACACACTGCAACACCTGCTTGTCTGTTGGTGGACTCGGGGCTGTTTCCAGTTCTTAGCTATTACAAATGAAGTTGCTGGAAACAGGAGTGTATGAGTAGCTGTGCAAACCTGACTTTTTTTTTGTGGAACTGGGGACTGAACTCAGGCCCTTGCGCTTGCCAGACAGGTGTAAACCTAGCTGTTAATTGCTGTAGGATAAATGTCTAAGATTGTAGCTGGCTGGGTCAGACTTATGGTTAATGTCCTGAAAAACTTTCTTAAAGAGTTTATGCTATTTATACTCTTAGCAGCAATGTGCGTATATTGTAGGAGCTGTATCATTACAACACAGGGATGATTAATTTTTAATTTTAGCTGTTTTACTGGAAGTATCTTTCTCAGTGAAGTGTGATGTTAGCAGATTTTTTTCATACATTTCTTTATCAGGCTGGAGAAGTTCCAGCCTAAGCATACTTCACTAAGCGTTGTGGTCATTAACAAGTGTTAAATTTTGTGAAATGTCTTTTTCTACAACTCTTTACAATTTAATAAATTTTTAGTATATGAACTAGACTGGCATTTGAATGATAAACTAACTTTTCCTGAGATAACCCTTCATGGCTATGATGTATGGTCCTATTTATAAATCATTTTGTATGATGATTCTATTTTGTTAAGAATTTTAATGACTATGGTCAAGGAGTTTTTAAAATTTTTTTTAGTTTCAGTACTGGGATAATGCTAGGCTTATAAAATAAATTAGGAAGTCTTCTGTCTTCTATTTTCTGCAAGTTTTTATAGAATTGGTATTACTTCTCTAAGTATTTGGTAGCTTTCCACAATAAAAGCATCTGGTGCTGGATTTTTCTTCATGAAAAGACTTCACTATAAAACCAAATCCCTTTAATTTAGGGTACATTGAAGTTATTCCTTGCTTCTTCAAGTCAAAAAAGATCCAAAGTGTTAATGAAATGTAACGATGTCTTAGCCCACTCAAATTGCTGTAACAAAATTACACAAACTAGACAGCCTACAAATGGCAAACCTTTATTTACACATTTTTAGGGGCTGGGAAGCCCAAAGGATCAAGGCACTGGCAGATGTGGTATGGGTGAGGCCTGTTCTTCTGGGATGTGGACAGTATAAGCGAGCGAGCTACTTTGGGCTCTAAGAGCACTAATCCCATTAAGGAGGGCCCTGCCCTCAAGATCTAATCACTTTCCAAAGGCTCCATCATTGGCATTACTTTGGGGACTAAGTTGCAATGCACAGACCTTGGGCACACAGAAACACACAGACCACAGTAAGTGACACAGCTATTAAGACTATCACTGCCACCTCTGGATCAACAATCATTATTTATAAGGGCATTTCACTGACCTTCTCAGACCCAAAAGCTACAACTCTTGTTGCACAGGTCCTGCTTTACCTTGGTCTTAACCATCCAGCAGAAAAGTATGAAGACGAAATATAGGAAGTAAAGCCATGCT